TGATTTATACCAACCCATGCAACAAATATTTATATGATTTTGATTTATCTGCAAGAAGAAACTTTGGAAGGAGATAATAAATACGACGCAGAAGGTTATGGCTTGCAAGTAAGTTTCATTATATACTTCATTACTGAGAATGCGAAGAGTATGTTATGTACATAACATATTAACGTTAACTTATATTTTATAGATTGCTAAAAAAAGTGTAATTTTTGAAAGTTTCCCGCCCGTATTGCATATATATTTAGATCAGTTTGAATACGACGTGCAAAGTAACCTTACCGTTAAGGCATGCACATTTAAATTTTAAAGTTTCTATAATATATCAATATATATATTTTTGCTAATACTGATCTGTTATATATAGTTAAATAATCATTACGAATTTCCAATGGAAATTGATTTACAAAAATATTTGTCACCGAATGCAGATAAATCCAAATCATATAAATATTTGTTGCATGGGTTGGTATAAATCATATAATCTTCACATTTGTTCAGACTTTATTTCTGATATAGATTTTATTTCAACTAGTGTACTTGTTCACTATTGTTCTAATGTTTGGGAGGAAGATCACTATTTCGTATTTATGAAACCCGAAAAGAATAGCGGATGGTTTGTTAGGTTTATATTATCTATTTCGTTTACGCATACAGTATACCCAATTTGTTTTAAAAAATGGCAGGGTGAAGTTTGATGATGATCAAATAACATCAGTGTCGGAAGAAGATGAATGTCTATCGGAAATAAATTGAATTATAATAATAGAATAATTAGGCAATATCATAGTATAATAATATTTGTTTTACCATAATAATCTTCAATACGTAAAGATTCATAATCTACGTTAACACATTTAATATAACTTTTTATTGTGCCAACAAAGAGTTTAGAAATTGCGCCGTCTACTTTTGTATTCTAAGTTTTAGGTCAGAAATTATTAGATAAAATAAATTAAACTATAAAGGCTGTTTGTCTCAACAATCCACCTTTATCTTTTTTCTGATATCATCCTGTATTACTCTAATAAGTTCTCGGACATCATTCATAAAAAATAAATTCCATCCAAAGAATCTTGTTAACTCTGATATTTCAACCGAAGTATCTGCAGAATTTAATTGATAAAAAATCCATTGCAAAACCGAGGAAATGCTTCCAGCTGATTTTGATTTATTTCCTTCAATAGGAATTTGATATACAACCTATGAATAAAAAAAAAGTGAATAAAAGTAAATACCACATCATCCCTATAAAAAAGTTTGTTCAGTTATTGTAGGTATTGTCCGAAAAAGTGTTCGGAACGGAATCGATTTTCCGAATGCCAGTACGATATTGTATAATTTTTATACTGTGATGTAAAAAACGAAATTTTTGGGTTGACAACATTAGGTATAAACATTGTACAAAATCAGTACAATGTTCGGAAATTCCGAATATTTTTTTGAACAAAAACAGAATAACTTAGAAAATTTTTAGAACATTGCCAACAAAATTTGGACAAAATTTTTTTATAGGGCATTAAACATATTTGGATCCCCAAAAAACAAACCTTACGGAA